GTGTACCGTCAAATCAGATCTGACTGGTACAGGAGGATATTGCGCCTCCTTCTCCGGCAGAGCATCTGGTGGATTCGAACCGTGTTTCTCTGGGATTGCAGTGCAGCTTCTTGCCACTAGGCCACCAGAGCTCCCCTTCTTAGGTTGTTTCTAACTTCTTGCTATTGTGAACAAAGCCACAATAAACATGGGTGTGCATTGCTTTGCATTTCTTAAGCTGAAGGAATTGAAGAATAAATTCAAACCTTGAGTTGCAATACTTTAGGATGCTTTGGGAAGAATATTAAATGATCAGGAAGCATCAAAAGAAGATGGGAAGAGTATACAGAGTCACTGTATCAGAAGAAATTGACTGACACAGAAGAATTTCATGAAATAGTGTATGAGCAAGGACCTGTGGTGATGAAGGTAGAAGTTCAAGCTGCTCTGAAGGGATTGGTAAAAAACAAGGCCCCACGAACTGATGGCATACTGACTGACGTATTTCAATAGATGGTGCCCTGGATGTGCTCACCAAGTTGTGCCAAGATATCTGGAGGACAACCATCTGGCCAACTGACTGGAAGAGATCTATATTTGTTCCCATTCCACAGGAAGGTGACCCGACAGAGTGTGGAAATTATCAAACAATATCATTAATATCACATGCAAGCAATATTCTGCTGGAAGTATTAAAAAAAGGCTGAAACATCAATAGAGAAGTACAGGCTGGGTTTGAAGAGGCCATGGGACTAGGGATATTATAGCTAGTATTATATGGATCTTGGCTGAAAGCAGGGAACACCCGAGGAAAGTCTGTGTTTCACTGACTATGCAAAGGTATTTGACTGTGTGGATCACAATAAATTGTGGCTGGTTCTGAGAAGAATGGGAATCCCAGAACATTTGATTTTGCTTATGCAAAAACAATACTTGGACCTTGGAAGCAGGAATGGCATCTACTTCCTAAACAACATGCCTCCGGAAACTCTATGAACTTTGATAAATGTCGCTAGTTGTAGAGGGCTTCAGGCCTTTTGTTCTTAGGGTCGCTGTGAGTCGTGCTCTATTCGAAGATAATCGACAACAACAATAACATGCTTAGACTAGGAGACAGTCATCAGAACAGAGCAAGGAAACACTGGGTGGTTCAAAATTGGGAAGGGTGTTCGCCAGGGATGTGTCCTATCTCCAGACATTTTCAATCTATATGCAGAACAGATCATTCAGGAGGCGGGTCTCTTTGAGGAAAAGTGTGGTATCAGGATTGGAGAAAGACTCATCAACAGCCCGTGTTATGCAGATGACACAACCTTGCTTGGTGAAACAGGAGGACCTGAAGTGCTTGCTGCAGAAGGTCAAGGATTGCAGCTTTCACTATGGATTGAAGCTCAATAGCAAGACAAATATTTGCACCACTGGTCCGATTGGCAGCATCATGATAGACAGTGAAGAGACTGAGATTGTTAAAAGCTTCAGTTTGCTGGCTCCACAATCAACACTCTTGGTACCAGCAGCCAGGAAATCAAAAGACGAGTTACGTTGGGAAAGTCTGCTATCAGGTATCTCTCTAGAGTGCACATCAGTCTGGAGACTAAGGTTCACCTGATACAGGTCATGGTTTTCCCAATTACTTGCCATGTATCTGAAAGCTAGACAATGACTAGGGATGATAGAAGGGTAATTGATGCCTTTGGGGTGTGGCGCTGGAGGAGTATTGAACATACTATGGACTGCTAGTAGAGCAAACAGGTTTGTCCTAGAGGGGCTGCTCCTAGGTGGAACGATTCTGAAGCTTCATCTGACATACTTTGGGCATACTGCAAGGAGGGACCAGTCCTCAAAGAGGGATATCATGCTGGGGAGGATGGGTGGAGGGACAGCACAAGAGATGAAGACACTGGATGAGGTGGATTGACTCAGTGACTGGGGTACTGAAGGTAGGTGTGCCAGAGATGATAAGTTTGGTTCAGGATATAGCAGGGTTCAGAACTGTTGTATATAGGGTACATAGGATGGCACATAACAACAACAACAATTCTATCTTCCTATCCTAGTCTGCTGTTAGGGACCTCTCTAAAGTACTCAAGAGAAACGGTGTCTCTCTAGAGACTAAGGTCCGCCTGATACAGGCCATGGTTTTTGCAATCACTTGTTATGCATCAGAGAGTTGGACAATGCCTAGGGAGCATAGAAGGACAATTGACACCTTTGAGCTGTGGTGCTGGAGAAGAGTATTGAATGTACCACGGACTGCCAAGAAAACAAACAGATTCATCCTGGAGAGGATTAAACCAAGCTACTCCTTGGAGGCAAGGATCCTGGGGCTTCGTCTGACATACTTAGGACATGCTGCAAGGAGAGACAGGTCTTTGGAGAGGGACACCATGCTTGGTAGGGTAGAGGGACAGCGCAGGAGGGGAACACCCTCTATGAGGTGGATTGATTCAGTGACTGGGGTAATCGGGATGGTTGTGTCAGAGGCAATGCGATTGGCACAGGATAGAGTAGGGTTTAGGACTGTTGTACATAGGGTCGCTATGAGTCGCAAATGACTCAACGGCACATAACAATAACAATAACAATAACAATAACAACAACATCCTAGTAAGTAGTGTCTGGAATCTCAAATGCTTCCTAGTCGCCATATGAGACACAGTAATTGGTTCCTATTTGTCTAAAGCTGTAGCCAGATTTTCTATAGGGAACTCTGGTGGCTTAATGTTAAGGAGTTGCACTGTCAACCCAAAGGTTGGTGGTTCAAATCTACAAGCTGTTCTGGGGGAAAACATGGGCATTCTCCCCCTGTGTGATTTACAGACTCTGAAAACTAGCTGGAGGGTCTGCTATGAGCTCGTTCAATTCAATAGCACAGAACAACAGCAACATGGAAGAAGGAAGCCCAAGAAATAATTTGCTGACAGGACTGACATCCTCAGTGAACCTCTGTTTCTTCTAACATGAGCCCAGAAGAATGAATGGCCACTGTCTGCTTCCGTTTCTGGCCAGTAGCTACACAGAATAGATGAATCCAGATAGAAAGTGGAGACTGCCAGTTCCCAAAGAATGCAGAGTTGTTGGAGCCCTTGAGGCTGAAGAAATCCCTAAGACGACTGTCACGGAATAATCTTCCAACCTTGAATCAAAACTATCCCTTGAGCGTCTCTAAACAAAACAGTTTAGCTCAAAAAGCAAAGAATGTTCTCCTCAAGTATTGCCCTTAAAAACCCACCTATATGAGATCAAAGGGACAGTAGTCATGCTAAGGCATAGAAGAGACATTTAGGGGCTTCGCCTCACCGTTGTCGAGTTACGTAAGCCTCACAGAGACCGCACAGGATGGAGTAGAACGCCCCACAGTGGATCTTCATGGAAGCCCACTACCTCATCCTTCTCCTGCACATTGGCGGGTGGCTTCCAATGTCCCATTCTCCAGCTAGTGCTTAATTCACTGCACCACCAGCACCCCTCGTTTAGGGGACAGTACATTTAAATTAGTGGAGGTGAAACATTGAGAGCAGAAATGACAGGAAGTAAAGGGCATAACCTGTATCACTGAACAATGTGTATAAAAGTTCTTAAGTGGCAGTGCGCTTCAATATGTAGATATATTTTCACCCCAAATTAAAAAAGATAAATCTATCTATCTCAGTGGGGTCCAGAACATCTTTTTTCCCTCCAGTATGAACTTGTTATTTATAAATTGAGGCATGAAATGATGCACTCAGCGCCTGGTATAAAAGTAGATGTTCAGTGTTTATGAAAGATAGGACCATTGAGGAGACTGGTCCTCTGGGGACTGTGCTGAGAGTCTTAGGGGTATCATTGCATTTAATGGTCCATTAACCCCATGTTGAAGGTGGATTGTTATATCGGTTTTATCGATAATGTTATTAGGTCCATTCTTACCCATAAAAAATCCGGGTGATGGAGCAGAGCTGTTTTGTGGACGGGTCTAATTGACCCATGAAGAGGGGTCTTCCAGGAGCCGACCACCAGGTCTTTTGTTCCTTACAGTCTCTGGTGGCTTCCAACTGCCAAGCTTTTCACTGACACCTGAGTGCTTCAGCCATCGTAAGGAGTTCCACAAGAACTCCTTATGCCCATTTTGTTGTTGTTGTTGTTTGGTGCCGTCGAGTTGTAGACGACTCATAGCGACCCTATGAATGAACAGCCTGAGCACTGTTCATACACAGAGTTTCTGGAGGCAAGCTATTTCGGAAGTGGATGCTGCTCCTGCTTCCAGGCTTGATTTAGTCAGGAAGCTCCGGTCAACACTGTCCACCATGGGTGCCCATTACCACAACTGGCACATCATTGTCACAGTGTGAAAACTGAGGCTTAGAGTGACCCAACTTGGAGGGGCTGACACCGTGCCAAGCTGTCCTGGGTGTGTCCTACCGTCATTGACCGGCCTGTTCTCTTCCTGCAGATTTCTCATCTACGGCCACTACTGCAGCCAGGTGGAGTCCGCCAGCAAGCACCTGGACAGCGTGGCCTCCGCCCGCGAGGATGTGCAGATGAAGCTGGAGGTGGGGGTCCTCGCCGCAGCTGGGAGCTCATCCACTAGTAGCCAGGCCCTGAGGGTGATGGCAAAGTGTGGAGCTGGGGATGTCCCGCTTTCTGCTGCAGCCCCACCAGGGTCCCCTGAGGGTTGGGGAGGAGGAAGAGGAGGAAATGGACCACAGCATGGAGCAGCCCCAACATTGCTGAGCCTCCACGTGGAGCTGACTCCCTGACTCCAGGATCAGAGCTGGCACTGCACCGAACCCCCAACCCTGAGCAGAACCCTGACACCAGGGGAGACCCTGACTACAGCTGAGTCTTATCCCCAAACTGGACACTAGCCTCAAGCTCAACTCCATCCTGAGGTCAGAGCCCAACCTTGGCTGCACCTCAAATTTGGGCTGGAGCCCGGCCCAGATAAGTCCCAACTCTGGGTTGAGTCTTATCTCCTCTGAGCCAAGTTCCAACTCTGGCTGAGCCCTGAGTTCAATCTGAGCCTGAACTTGACTAACCCTGGTTCCAGGCTGAGCCTGACTTGACCTGCTCCGGCCCTGGCCATTGTGCCCAGTGGGAATAAGACCAGAAGCCACAGAACGGATAGGATACAGAGAGGCTGCCTGTGTGAGCCACCCCATCCTCCGTCTGACCCCAGTCCCTAGGAGTGCAGGCCTGTACAGTGGGGGCTCCGGATCTCTCCCTCTCTCCCTCCCTCTCCAACCCACTCAGCTTCCGAGTCCTGGGCTTCTACCCTGGTCAGCATCCATAGACCTTCCCACTGGTCTTAAACCACCCTCACCCCGTGAGCTGTGTCTCAGTCTCAGTCAGCTGTCACAGAAACACCACGGGTGGGGAGCTTCAATGAACATATAGTTATTCTCCCGTTGTCAGGCTGAAGTCTGCAAGTCTGAAGTGGGCTCTGGGGGAGGGCACTCCCTGCCCACACTTGGAAAAATCCTCCCTCATCTCGTCTTCTCTTGGGGTTCCTGGTGGCCTCAGTTTCCCCTTTTTTGTATGTGCTTGCTCATGTGCCCAGTTGTCTCCTTTTCCACCTCAAAGTGGATTGCTTTAAGACGCATCCTACTCTGGCATGTCCTTGGGGATATAACAAAGCAAACTGTACTCCCAGGTGCCATCACATCCACAGATATAAAAGGTATAGAATGCCTCTTGCCCATCGACATGATTCTGAATCACTGTGACCTTGACCCTGCAGAGGACCGAGTAGAACGGTCCCTTAGATTTTCTGAAGCTTTAAATCTTTGTAGGCATCGATGGCCTCTTCTTTCTCCTGTCGTATGGCTGGAGGGTTCCAACTACCCACCTGTTGGTTAAAGCTGAATGCTTTAACCACTGTACCTTCTGGATTTTACACCAAATATATTTGAGGACTCAGAAGAGATCTGTAGCTGATTCTCCATTGGGGTTTTGAGGGTGCAAATCTCGCAGGAGGAGACTGCCCACACTTCTGCCAAGGAGACACTGGTGGACTCGAACCATCACAGAGGTGTCCACTGTGGGTTAGCAGGTCAAGTCCCTGTGAACTGCACCACCAGAGTGTTCTCATATTTGGGGGACACAAATCAATCTCTAACAGCATCTTTTGGTCCTTAGTTCTTGGGAGAAGGGGGGGCCATATGGTGCTTGAGGAAGAACCTGCACAGTTCTGAGCTCTGTGTCCTCGCTACCTGCTCAGCCCAAGCCCTCCCTTCAGCCTCACCCTGTCCCCCACTTGTCCCCACCCACCAGGAGTGTTCTCAGCGAGCAAACAACGGAAGGTTCACCTTGCGGGACCTGCTGATGGTGCCCATGCAGCGAGTACTCAAGTACCACCTCCTCCTCCAGGTGCGGCACATGCACACGGGTTTGGATGGATAGGGGTTTTCCAAGCCATCCCTCCTCTGGGTAAGGGGGCCGTGGGGGCTGGTGGGCCAGGAGGGGCTGCCTAGGTGACAGTTGACCCCCTGGGTCTCACAGGAGCTGGTGAAGCACACGCAGGATGCAACAGAAAAGGAGAACCTGAAGCTCGCCCTGGATGCCATGCGGGTGAGTCGGAGGAGGGGATGGGTGCCTCTTGCGACCTTCTGGATGTGCTGGGGTGACCGTCACACCCAGGAATGCACTCAGCATGCACACATGCCTTCAGGAAGCCTGGTAGTGCAAGAGCTGGGCTGCTAACCGAAATGTTGTTTCCACCCCACTCAGGAGCTACTAGGGAGAAAGGCCTGGCAACCTACTCCTGTAAAGGTGACGGCCTAAAACACCTGCGGGGCAGGTCTGCTCTGTCACAGGCATCCCTGTGAACGGGTGTTGACTCAGTAGCATCCACACAGCAGTTACAGCACAACTTTCATGGGCCAGTGTGGCCAGAGGCCACAGTGTGGTAGAATCTTCCCTTCCCAGGGGGAGCCCTGGCTTCCATTTCCAGCCAACGCCCCTCCACTGCACAGCCAGCACTGCTGGCCAGTGGGGGGCTGTGTGCTTCTAGGATGCTGTGAGGGTGTCAGCAGTGTTTCCAGATCAAGATGGATGAGGAAGAAAGGCCTGGAGACCTATTATAAAAATCAGACTAAGGGAACTTTGTAGATCATAGGTCACGCATGTGACATTTGTGGGGAGCAGGAGCAGAAGCAGGGGGGCATTTGATACTGTTGTGTGTGGGGTCTGATGAGCAGAGGTGGTTGCATAGTGACCTTCATTGACCTTGCTTCACTATGAAATGGACAGGTCCATAGGACTAGTGACTTGAAAATCTCCGAGGGCACGTGCACAGTACGGTGATGCATTGTGGACACCCTGTTCCTAAGCCCTGTGCCAGCCGCTGATGGGTGCTGGCCCCCAATTCCAGGCCAGCTAGTGGACTGGGCAGTGAGGGATCTATGTTCACCCCCCTCTGTCCCCAGGACCTAGCACAGTACGTGAACGAGGTGAAGCGAGACAACGAGACGATGCGGCAGATCACCAACTTCCAACTGTCCATAGAGAATCTGGTGAGGGGGCGGCTGGGTCCGAGAACAGGGATGTGGGGGCGGGCTGGGTCTGGGGACAGGGTTGTGGGGGCCAGTTGGCTATGGGGACAGGGGCGTAGAGGCGTGCGGGCCTTTCCTTGACAGACCCTCTGCCCGCTGCAGGGCCAGTCTCTGGCACAGTATGGTCGACCCAAGATCGATGGGGAGCTCAAGATTACGTCCACAGAACGGCACTCCAAGATGGACAGGTGGGCGTGGCCGGGGAGGGGCGTGGCCCGGCGCCTAGATTGACAAATGGGTGGGGCTTACAGGGATTGCAAGAACCTGGCCAGAAGACATATAAATATATGTGTTGGGCCCAAGATGGAGAGGTGGGTGGTGTCTGAGAGAGAGTATGGTGGGGGTACCTAGATAAAGGGGTTAAGATGGACAAACTGGAGGGGCTGACTGGAGAAGGACCACGGTCCTAGGTAGATAGGTGGGCGGAGCCACTAAACCAAGGTGTGGAGACAGGATGGACGCGTGGCTGGGGCAAGATGGACAGATGGGCATGGTCCACAGAAATTGGGGGTTGAGTCTGGGTGCAGACCCCTTAACAAGGAGAGGAGCAGGAGGGCTGGGCCAGGATGGACACGTGGGCAGGACTAACACAAATCTGGCAGGTGGGGCAGAGATGGGCAGGTGTGCAGGGCCAAGCTGGCGGTAAAGGAGACATGGGGGTGTCCTGGAAGTGTCTTCTAACTGGAGCCAGGAAGGTGTGGGGGCACGTGGGAGGTGCTGGACAGGGTCACCTGACGTGTTTGCTCCCAGGTACGCCTTCCTGCTGGACAAAGCCCTGCTCATCTGTAAGCGCCGCGGGGACTCCTACGAGCTCAAGGACTTTGTGAACCTGCACAACTTCCAGGTTCGGGACGACTCCTCGGGAGAGCGAGACAACAAGAAGGTGGGGTAATGAATAAATAAATCTTTACAAGCCTTTGGAAAAAAACCCCCAAAAAACAAAACCAACCCACTACTGTAGAAATAGTAAGACACTTAAAAAAAGGAAAAATTAATTAAAAAAAAAAAGAAGGTGGGGCTCGGAGGCCAGAATTGAGGTCGCATCAAGGTCATGTGTGTGTGTGTGTGTGTGTGTGTGTGTGTGCGCGCGCACATGCACACACAGCACTCAAGCATCAAGACTCCTCCACACAGACACCAGCCAAGAAAACCCAATGGACTAGCTGTACTCTGTAACTCATGGGGTCATCTTGAGTCAGAATCGACTCCATGCAATGGCTTTTGCTCAGGGGTCTCTTAGGAGAGGGGTTCCCGGGTGCCTGCCAACAGTGAGGCACTTGGCTGTAACCAAAAAGTACCGGTGGTTTGAACCCAGCCAGAGAGAGGTGCCTCAGAACAAAGACTTAGCCGCTGCTTCTGAAAGGTCACAGCCACCAAAACCCAAGGACGCAGTTCTAGTCTGCGCACATGGGGTCCCCGGGAGTGAGAATGGACCCAGCAGCAGCTGGTTTGGTTTGTGACAGGGATGGGGTCAGGATAGGGCTTGGTGGGTGTGCTGTTCCGCTTCTGCGGGTGGGTGTCCTTGTCTGGCCCTTTTTTGTGTACAGGGGTGCGGTCGATGCATGCTTGGTCTCTCTCGCTGTGGAATGAGTCCCTTCATTCTCTCCTCCCTTTCAGTGGACCCACATGTTTCTCCTGATTGAGGACCAAGGCGTCCAGGGCTACGAGCTTTTCTTCAAGACACGGGAGCTGAAGAAGAAGTGGATGGAGCAGTTTGAGATGGCCATGTGAGTCCTCCGCTCCTTGCATCTTTCTATCCTCAGAGGATGCGACGCCTTGATGGAGGGACCAGGATGCAGTTGTGCACCCACGTTCACCTCTACCCTGATGCTCCACTCCCATCTAGGAAGTGAGAGGGACAGGCTCCAGGCTCCAGTGTGCAAGCTTTAGCTACTCTGCTTCTCTTCCTTCTCGTCTTTCACTGAGGTGAACATCACCCAACCACAAAGGAATACTTTTAGAGCATCTGACTCAGTGGCATTTAAATAACAAGGAAGAGCTGATGCCTTTGAATTGTGGTGTTGGTGAAGAGTAATGAATAACCCATCAACTACCAAAAGATTACATAAGTCTGTTTTGGATGAAGTGCACCCACAGTGCTCCTGAGAGGAAAGAAGGGGAAACTTCATCTCACATACTGTGGGCATGTTATCAGGAGGGACCAGTATGCAGGAAAAAGACATTAAGCTGGGAAAGCTGGAGGCTCAGAGAAAGAGAGGGAGACCCTCCACACAAGGTGGATTGATATAGAGGCTGTAACAACCGGCTGGAGCATGTCAGGGACGGTGAGGAGGGTTGAGGACGGGCCAAGGTCAGATCTGTGCTTCACAGGGTCTCTGCGAGTTGTATAGTTGATGTGAAAGCATCGAGCAGTAGTAGCAACAAGATGTTGTGCAACCTTCATCTACTTCTTCTCACCATCTCATTGCTATTGGGGGGAGCCAGCTCTTGGCTGACCTTCCACTGGGTTTCAAAGACTGTTAGTCATGGGAGCATATTGTCCTTCTTGTCCCTCGGAGCCACCGGTGGATTTGGACGTCCAGAGAGGGGCTGCCTTTGGGTTAGCAGTGCACCCCCCTCCAGCCTAGTTGTACAGTATTTTCATCATCCCCAAAGGAGACCCCATCCTTTTTTTTTTAAAGCAGGGGTTCATTTTGCTCTATAGTTAAATATTTATTCACTTTATTATTTTATTTTTTTGTTCCTCTCTCCTTTCCACCTTATTCCTGTTAACCCTCCAAGATCGATATCATCCATGCATAAATCTTTCCTTAGTTTTTAATATTGTTGTTGTTATATACTGTAGAGGTAGAACAGACTCGTAGCTGAGCCTCTGGTGGGTTTTCAGAGGCAGTACGCTGTCCAGGAGGAGATCACCCACTTTCCTCCTGTGGAACAGCTGCTGGATTCAAACTATGTACCTTTGAGTTGTAATACAGCTGCTTACCACGAGGCCACCAGAGCTCTCCCTGGCGATCTTATCCCATAATTGTGCTTTTATGACCGACCTGTGTCATTTAGCATAGTTTGTTCTAGTTTCATCCATGTTGTCCAGAATTTAACGAATTCTTGATCATTTTTCAGTGATGCATAATACTCCATTGTGTGAACGTACCACAGTTTCTTTAGCCATTGTTTACTGATGGCCATGTGGGCTGTTTCCAGCTCTTCATGATGATAAATAGTAGGTGTGAGTATGGTGCAACAACTATGGAAAGCAGTTTGGCACTTATTTAGAAATACAGAAATAGAAATGCCACTTGATCCAGCAACCCAACTACTAGGTGTATTATTGCAGAGAAGTAAGAACTGCAACATGAATGGGCATATTAACGCCTGTGTGTTGGTAGCTGCTAAGATGCCCTTAACTCGTAGCAGTCCTGTGTTACAGAGTGGAACTTCCCTGTCATGTTCCAAGTTGTGCTCTTCACAGAAGAGTATTTTGAAACACTTGCTGTAGAAGGTCAAGGACTCTAGTCTTCAATATGGACTGAAGCTCAGCAACAAGAAAACAAAGATTCTGCCTTTGAGCCCCTGGCACACCTGCCTGTGGCGCTGGGGGTTAAGCTGCAGCTCAAGAGTATGAGTTCATGCGTAACTAAGGCCCCAGCCCGCTGCAGGAGGCCCTTTTAACTGTGAGCAACACTGCGACAGAAAAGAAAAAGAAATGTAAAAAAAAAAAACCACAACAAAGATACTCACCACTGGGCCAATTGGCAGCATGGTGATGGACGGAGAAGAGATTGAGGTTGTTAAAACTTTCAGTTTGCTTGGCTCCACAACCAGCATTCTTGGTACCAGCAGTCAGGAAATCAAAAGAATTACATTGGGAAAGTCTGCTCTCAGGGACCTCTCCAGAGTGCTGAGGAGCAATGATATCAATCAAGAGACTAAGGTGCGCCTAATCCAGGCCATGGTCTTCACAATTACATGCTATGTATCAGAGAGCTGAACAATGACTAAGGATGACAGAGAATAATTGATGCCTTTGGGGTGTGGTGCTAGAGAAGAGTATTGAACATGCCATTGACTGCTAGGAAAACAAACAGGTGTGTCTTAGAGAGGGTGAAACCAAGTTTCTCCTTGGAGACAAGGGATTTAAAGCTCCATCTCACATACTTTGGGCATGTGGCCAGGAGGGACTGATTCTTGAAGGATAGCATGCTTGGAAGAGTGGAGGGAGAGCTCAGAAGAGGAAGACCCCCAATGAGATGGATTGGTATGATAACTGGGGCAAAGAAATTAGGTGTGTTGGAGTCAGTGAGGCAGCACATAACAACAACAACAACAGCAACTCTTCACAAAAGCAGTTTACCGGGTTTTTTTCAGAAGCACTGGTGGATTCAAACCACAAAACTAGGTTAGCAACTGATATAAACCACTTGCATCATCCAGGCACTTTTCTCCCTTTGGTGACTAAAAGGGGGATATCCCCAACACTATTCACAATGAGTCCAGTGAACATGGAAAAGAGTTATGTGACCATACCCACAAGTAGCAGTGAGTATCATGACCATGGCAACAAGTCATGTAACTATGGCAGCAAATAATGAAACCATGGCAACAAAGTCACATGACCATAGCACCAAGTCACCTGATACCTTGGCATGGAGTCACGAGCCACAGCAATGAGCCACATGGCCATGGCAATGAATCATGGAAAGGGATCACATGACCTTGGCAACAAGTCTCCATTGCAAGGAGTTTCATGACCATGACAGAGTCTTGTGGCCATAGCAATGAGCTTTATGAGGATGGCAAACAAATCATGTGGTGATGGCAATGAGCCACATGACCATAACAGTCAAGTCACCATAGTAATGAGTCACGTGACCACTGCAGATTCACTTTACTGTGGCACAGAGTCATGTGATCATGACAGAGTCTAGTGACCGTGGCAATTAGTGCTGTGACCGTTGACATGAGTATCTTTAAAATGATAGAGATCTCAAGACTCATTACAATGAGTCTTGAGACCATGGCAAAGAGTCTCATGAGCATGGAAATAAGTTTTGTGACTGTGATAAAGAGTCTTTTGACCATGGCAGTGAATCTCAAAACCATGGCAATGAGTCCCAAGACCGTGGCCATGAGTCAGGTGGCCATGGAGAAGAATTATGTGACCATACCCACAAGTTATGTGACCATGACAAAGAGTATCATGACCATGGCAGTGAGTCACGTGACCATAGCAGTAAGTCACATGACCACAGTAAGGAGTCATTTGTACCTTGGCAGAGTAATGTGACCACGGCAATGAGTCACATGATCATGGTGACAAATCACGTGATCATGACAAAGAGTCTCACGACCATAGCAATGAGTCACAATGGCAAAGAGTGTCGTGACCATTAACATGAATATCTTTAAAATGACAGAGATCTTGTGACCATTGCAATGAGTCTTGAGACCAAGACAGAGTCTCGTGAGCATGGCAATGAGTCAAGTGACCATGACAGAGTTATGTGACTTACCCACAAGTAGCATGATCAGTAACTGTGAGTCTGGTGACCGTGACAAAGAATCTAGTGACCATGGAAATGAGTCTTCAGATTATAGCAAAGGGTCACACCTTCAGATTATAGCAAAGGGTCACATGACCATGAAAAGGATTAACATGACCATGACAATGAGTGTTCTGACCATGGCAGTTAGTTACATGACCATGGCGGTGAGTCACGTAACTGTTAACAATAAGTCACATGATGAGTCACGTGACCACAGCAACAAGTCATGTGACCACAGCAAGGAGTCATTGTACCTTGGCACAGAGTCATGTGACCATGGCAAAGAATACTGTGACCATCGACATGAGTTTCTTTAAAATGACAGAGATCTTGTGACCCTTGCAACGAGTCTTGAGACCATGACAAGGAGTCACATAAGTGCAGTAATGAGTCTTGTGACCATGGCACTGAGTCCCTAGATCATGGCGATGAGTCAAGTGACCATAACACAGAGTTATGTGACCATACCCGCAAAAGTAGCATGTCTGTGACTGTGAGTTTCATGACCATGACAGAGAATCTAGTGACCATGGCAACAAGTCTTGTAACCAAGGAAAAGGGTCATGTGACCATGGCAATGAGTCATGTGATCATGGCATGGTAACAATAACTTGAAAATGGACAAAACCCAGATGTCCATCAATAGGTGATTGGAGAAACTGGTTCTGGTTGCCCATATAGTGGGCTATTGTTTTTGTTAGGTGCCATCAGCTTGATTATGACTCATAAAGGTCCCTTGAACAGCAGATCCAAATCTCACCCTATCCTATGCAATCCTCATGACTTCTGTCATTCTCAAGCCCATTGTTGCAGTCACTCCTCTTTGATGATCCTCTACTTTTCCCAGCATGAGATCTTTTTCTAAGGATTGGAGACATCTGAAAATGTGCCCGAAGTATATGAAATGAAGTTTCGTCCTCCTTGCCTCTAAGGAGCATCTTGGTTGCACTTTCTCCACGTTAGGTTTGTCTGTTTTTTTGATAGTCCATGGGGTATTCAATGTTCTTCGCCATCACCACAATTTAAAGACATCAGTTCTTTGGGATTCCTCATTCATTGTCCCACTTTCACATTCCTGCTCATCAAGTGAAATTCCACGGCTTGGATCAAACACATCTTAGTCTTGAAATACACATCCTTTTAAGGAGGTCTCTGTTAGCAGATTTGCCCAATGTAACATGTATTTTGATGGGTTTGTTTTTTATTTTAGACTTCATTTTTTTTTAAATTTTGGGCTGGGTTTGGGAACACAAGTGGAGGGAAAGGATATAATCTAATTTGAGGGTGTTTTGATGTTTTGACTGGGGCTTCCATGGGTTTTTGTTGTGGATCCAAGTAAAATGAAATCCTTGACAACATCAACCTTTTCTCCATTTTCCATCATGCTGCCTTTAGTCTGGTGGTAAAGTTTTGTTTTCTTGATGTTGAAATGTAATCCATATTGAAGACTATAGTCTTTGGTCGTCTTCAGTAAGTGCTTCAAGTCTTCTTCATTTTCTGAAAATAAGTTTATGGCATCTAGATAGCATAGGTTGTTGATGAGTCCTCCTCTAATTCTGATGCCATGTTCTTCCTCATAAAGTCTAGTTTCTTGGACTATTTGGGATATTATTCAACAATAACGAGTGATTCTGGTGGCATAAGAGACAAGCACTCGGCTGCTAAAGCAAAGGTTGGAACTTGAAATCCATCCAGCAGTTTCATGATAGAAACATGGTAATTAATCTGCTTCCATAAAGAACACAGCCCGGCTGGGATGTTCTACTCTGCCATGGTGTGAGTGAGTTGGAATTGGCTCAATGTCACCACCACCACCACCACCACCACCACCACCACCAAACAGTAATGAAGCTCTAGCCCTCTTTCCATTTATCTTTCTCCTCCAGCTCCAACATCTACCCTGACAATGCCGCTGCCAATGGACATGACTTCCAGATGTTCTCCTTCGAGGAGACCACTTCCTGCTCAGCCTGCCAGATGTTGCTGAGGTGAGGGACTTGAGGATGGACCTGGGTCCTGGGATTGATTAGTCATTCCCCCCTGCAAGGATGTTCCCAGAAGGCAGCTTCCTGAGCTGAGAGTTGTGAGACTCTACCCTATCCTCAACTTCTCTTGTTTCTCTTCTGAAGAGAACCAAAGGGTCTCCTCATGTTTGGGGTGGCTGGCAGAGTGGTTGGCTGTGTCAGTTAACATCATTGAGCCCCTTTCATATTTTTCTGCATCCCAGAGGCACCTTCTATCAAGGATACCGCTGCCATCGATGTCGGGCCCCTGCACATAAGGAGTGTCTGGGGAGAGTCCCTCTGTGTGGTCGACATGGACATGGTACTGTTGGGAAAGAAGCTGACTTTCCATGGGGTTATCACTAGGAGAGAACGCGGGAGGTGGGCTCTGCTATCCATGGTGTGGGGGAGAAGGTAGGAGGTGACTTTCCCACTGGAAGGGAAGGTGAGAGATGAGAGGTGGGATTTCCCCCCTGTGGGCTTTCCTTCCTAACAACTTCCTTTTCTTTGTCATAGATTTTGCAGGAGCCACAAGGAAGGTAGGACCTCCTCTCACCCTCACTCCTTTCTGTGCATAGAAAACCATGGGAGACAGAGGGAGGAGGACCTGGGAGAGCTCACCCTCTTCCTGTGTGTAGGGACAGAGAAGCCCTAGCTGGACAGGAGGCACCAAATCTGCTTTCTTGATTTCTCTCTCTCTCTCTCTAGGATAAACCACACCGAAGGGCTCAAGACAAAAAAAAGAACGATCTGGGTGAGTTGGCAGGAGGCCCTGGGTGGAACTGAAGGGAAGCTGGTTTCTGCCTCTGTTGTTGTTGTTATGTGCTGTCAAGTCACCTTCAGTTTTCTGATGCATAGCAAGCAATTGCAAAACACCATGGCCTGGATCAGCCTCACCTTAGTCTCTACTGATATCATTGCTTTTTAGTGCTCTGGAGAGGTCCCTGACAGCAGATTTTCCCAGTGCAATTTATCTTTTGATTACCTAACTGCTGGTGCCAAGAGTGTTGATTATAGAGCTGAGCAAACTGTAATTGTTAACAACCTCTATCTCTTCTCCATCTATTATGATACTGCCAATTGGCCCAGTGGTGAGAATCTTTGTCTTCTTGATGTTGAGTTTCAATCGATACTGAAAATTTTAGTCCTTAACTTTTTGCAGCAAGCCCTTCTGGTCTTTCTCAGTTTCAGCAAGCAAAGCTGTGTCATCTGCATAATCCAGGTTGTTGATGAGTCTTCTTCCTCCAGTCCTGATGCCACATTCCTCCTCATAAAGCCCCGCTTCCCAAATGATCTGTTCTGCATATAGATTGAAATGGTTAATTAAATTGATTAATTAACCAATTAACAATCATTGATGTTGTTAATTATTTCATCTTGCTTGTATCCACAATCAACAGTTTTGGTACCAGCTAGTCAGGAAATCAAAAGATGAGTTGTATTGGGAAAATCTACTGTCAAGCATCCCTCCAGATTCAATTACAAAATGGGCAAAAAACATGTATAGACTTTTCACAGAGGAAGGTGTTCAGATGTGTGACAGCCGCATGAAGAAATGCTCAAAATCACTGGCACTCAGAGAGCTGAAAATCAAAACTACAATGACATACCATCTCTGCCCAGTAGCAGTGGCAAAGTTAGCAGGGCAGTAAGCGATAAACGTTGGAGAGGATGTGGAGAGGTGGGAACTGTACTACACTGTTGGTGGGATTGTAAAATGGTACAACCACTCTGGAAGGCAGTTTGGCATTTCCTCAAAATGTTGACCATAGAAACTCCATATGACACAGCTATTCCACTACTGGGACTATACTTCAAGGAAATTAGAACAGAGACACAAACAGAGATTTGTATACCAATATTCATAGCAGCAGTATTTAGCATCTCAACAACATGGAAACAGCCCAGATGTCCAGCTACAACTGAATGAATTGAGAAATTGTGATATAGTCACACAGTGGAATACCATGCAGTACTCAGGAGCAATGATTTTGAAAATGACTGTTTAACTTGAGAGAGGCTGGAAAGCATTATGCTGAGTGAACTCACTCAGTCTCATCAGGACAAATATTTCTTTAAAACCATTATTGTAAAAATAGAATGATAACTAGTAAAACATAGATGGGGACCCAAGGGGTGAAGGAGTGGGAGCAGAAGGGCGAGGTTGGGTAGGGAAGAAACCACAAAGTTGCACAATTTGATGGGTGGAGGGAGGAGGTAAAAGAAATGGGAAGGATCTGGTGGGGATCTGAAAAGACAGAGCAGTGAAGGGCAAAGTCCAATGGTGATTAATTTTATAAAACATAATTCATTAGAATGACTGTATGAAACACAATGTTAATGAAGAATAATGTGAAACACAATGTATACAAATTTTGTAAGCAAACTAATAATAATAATAATAATAATAATAACAACAATACTATCTCTCCAGATCCAGCAGGGACTTGAAAAGACAGGGTAATGTGGGCATATTTAATGGGAATTGAGTTTATAAAATGTATGGGACTGCTCTGAAAGAATTGGCAAAAAACAAGGCCCCAGGAATTGATAGCATACCAATTGACATATTTCAAGAACTATTTCAGGATGTACTCACTAAGTTGTGCCAAGCAAACTGGAGGACAGCCAACTGGCCAACTGACTGGAATAGATCTATATTTGTTGATCCAACAGAGTGTGGAAATTATTGAACAGTATCTCTGATATCTCCAGAAACTCTATGTATGAATAGTGCTCAGGCCGTTAGTTCAGAGGGTCGCTATGAGTCGTCTACGACTTGACAGCCTCAAACAACAATAACGATGACAACGACAAAGAGAGAGCTACATTGGCCTAGTGGAAAGGAAGTTATGCTACCAAGCCGAAGGTGGGTGATTTTCATCTGTGGCCCTCGGCCAGGTTCAAATTGTCTTCCTGTCAAACATTCTTCTAGGTGGTATAGCACCGGTCTTTGCGTTGCTGTACAGAGGTAACTCGTGGTTGCTGTGATGCTGAAGACTGTGGCAGTGATGTGCCAATCGTGGTAATGGGCACCCATGGTGGACAGTGTTGGCTGGAACTTCCCGACTAAATCAAGCCTGGAAGCAGGAGCGGCATCCACTTCCGAAATGGCTTGCCTCCGGAAACTCTATGTACGAACAGTGCTCAGGCCGTTGTTTATTCATAGGATTGCTATGAGTCGTCTACGACTCAATGACACCAAACCACAACAACAACACAACATCATTGATATCACATGCAAGCAAGATTCAGTTGAAGATTATAAAAAACCGACTGAGAACTGCCTGAAGTGCATGCTGGATTTAGAAGAAGCCATGCTACTAGGGATATTATAGCTGATGTCAGATGTATCTTGGCTGAAAGAAGAGAGTACCAGATGAATGTCTATCAGACTATGCAAAGGTATTTGACTGTGTAGATCACAGCAAACTGTGGCTGACTCTGAGAAGAATGGGAATCCCAGAACACTTGAATGTGCTTATTTAAAACTATACTTGGACCAAGAGGTAATCATCAGAACAGAGCAAGGAAACTCTGCATGGTTCAAAATTGAGAAGGGTGGGCACCAAGGATGTGTCCTGTCTCTGTATCTTTTCAATCTATATGCAGAACAGATTATCCAGGAGGCGGGGCTCTATGAGGAGATATGTGGCATCAGGATTGGAGGTAGACTTATCAACAACTGCTTGAAATGGAGGAGGACCTGAAGCACTTGCTGCAGAAGGTCAAGGACTGCAGCCTTCAATATGAATCGAAGCTCAACATCAAGAAGACAGATTCTCACCACTGGGCTGATAGATGGTGAAGAGACTGAGATTGTTAACAGCTTCAGTTTGCTTGGCTCTACAATCAACACTCTTGGTACCAGCAGTCAGGAAATCAAAAGACGAATTGCATTGGGAAAATCTGCTGTCAGAGACCTCTCCAAAGTACTGAGGAGCAACAATCTCAGTCTGGAGACTAAGGTGTGCCCGATACAGTCCATGGTCTTCACAGTTACTTACTATGCATTGGAAAGATGGGCAATGACTAGGGATGATAGGAGAACTGATTCCTTTGAGCTGTGGTGCTGGAGAAGAGTATTGAATATACCATGGACTACTAGGAGAACAAACAAGTTTGTCATGGAGAGGGTGAAGCCCGGCTTCTCCTTGGAGGCAAGGATTCTGAAGCTTTGTCTGACATACTTTGGACACGTTGCAAGGCAGGATCAGACCTTGGAGAGCGGCATCATACTTGGGAGGGTGAAGGGACAGCACAGGAGTGAAAGACCCTTGAGGAGATGGATTGATTCAGTGACTGGGGTAATGGAGGTAGGTGTGTCAGAGACAGTAATATTGGCACAGAACAGAGTAGGGTTTAGGGCTGTTGTACATAGGGTTGCTATGAGTTGCCAGCAACTCAGCGACACACAACATCAGCAACATGGGAATGATCATATGAAACACAATGTGAATGAAAGAAAGTGTGCATCACAATATATACAAGTTTTGTATATAAATATATATATACACACATACACACACATACACACATACATACATATACCTACATACACACACACACACCTCTCCAGAGTGCTAAAGAGCAACAGCGTCAGTTTGGAGACTACATTGTGCCTGATCCAGGCCATGGTCTTCTCAATTGCTTGCTATGCATCAGAAAGCTGGACAATGGAACGTGAACCAGAAAGCTGTAGCATGTGAGCCACCATGCTCTATCATCAAACTGTTTAAAAACAATATATGACTGGGAATTATGGTCATAACGAGAGTCCAGAATGAAGGCTGCATAGTGGAGTGGACTCAAGGGGAGAAGGGATTGTATACCACTGAAATAATTTTTCTTTTACTTTTAAAAGAGTGAACTGAAAGGGGATGGATGGGAAGGGAGAAAAATGCAACAATGAATGAATGGAAATCCAAAGTCTCTGTAAACATTCATTAAAATTAATAATAAAAAAGGAAAAAATAAAGCTCGTAGGGGCATCATGCTTGGGAAGGTGGAGGGACACTTAAGGAGAGGAAGACCCTCAATCAGGGGGACTGGCACAGTGAGAATAGCAATGGGCTCAATTGTGTCAGAGATGAGGATGGCACAGGATAGGATAGGGGTCAGATCTGTTCATAGGGTTGCCATGAACTCAACTTGACGGCACCTGACAACAACATGTTGGAATCTACTCAATAACACCTACACCTACCAACAACATATGTTTGGATCTCTTCTCTCTCTCCCTCTCCCTCTCCTCCCCCTTCCCTTCTTTCCCCTCCCCCTCCCCTCCTCCTCCTCCTCCTTCTTATTCTCCCTCTCTCTCCTTTCTCCCCCCCTCTCTCATCTCTCTCTCTCTCTCTCTCTCTCTCTCTCTGTCTCTCTTTCTCTCTCTCTCTCCCTCCCTCTCTCCCTCTCCCAATCCCTATCTCTATCATCTCCCTATGTTTGCTATCCTCAATCCTCATAGCAGTTGCTATATTGGAACTCACTGTTGTAGCCAGTGTCAGTACATCTCACTGTTGGGCTTCCTCCTTTTCATTGACCTTATAGACATAATGTTCTTCTCCAGCGATGATTGTTGCTGTTCCACCAAACTGGAACGAACCCATAGCTCATCCTGCAGTGGGTTCAGAATCAGTAAATTACACGAGAGAGGATTGTCCGTCTTTCTCCTGGAGAGGAGCTAGTGAATTTGAACTCCTTACCACTAGAACTCCCAGGGACTAATACCTCTTTACAATATGTTCAAGATGAGCTCTTGCTACCACTTTTAAGGAACATTCTGTCTGTACTTCTTTGCAGATGGATATGAGATTAGGATAATTATATTTGTAATGGGTATATTTTGATGTCGAATTTCTGAATCATTGTAGACTTATAGTTAGGTCCAGCTGATACAGCCACCCAAGGAGCTCTGGTGGCCTAGTGGTGAGGAGCTGCGCTGCCAACCCAAAGGCACGTGGTTCGAATCCACAAGCTGATCCTCATGAGAAAGATGGGCAATCTCCTCCTGTGCAATTCCACTGCCTCTGAAAAACCACTAGTGCGTCAGCTATGGGTTGGTTCTCTGACTTGACAGTACACATAAACAACAACAAAGATACTGCCAACACTTTTCCATAAGTGGATTTCTGCCAGGAGGGCAGGAGATTTCCAGGTGCTCTATATCCTCCTCATCATCTGATGTGGTCGATCGTTTTAAATTTGGCCATTCTGGTCAGTGGTGGAATTCAAGACTGGGAGATCTTGACTACCTCATTGTACCACCACTCTTCTTGCTCCCAGGTCTACCCAAGATGGAAGTGTGTCAGGAGTACTATGGACTGCCTCCACCTCCCAGAGCATTTGGATCTTTCCTACGACTCAACTCTGGAGACATTGTGGAGCTCACCAAAGCGGAGGCTGAGCAGAACTGGTGGGAGGTACAGGCAGGGTCTGTGGGGTAATGATGTAGCAGGACCTAGATGAAGGACCATGTGGTGATGGGGTGGGACCCAAGTGTGGGGCCTTGAGGCGATGGGGTAGGACCCAAGTATAGGGCTGTGAAGGTGATGGGGCAGAATTCAGGATGAACTGTGGAGTGATGGTGTGGAATGCAGGTGGGTCTGTGGGAATGACATGGCGGGACCCAGGTGTGGGACTCTGGGGGAGTCTTAAAGTGGGATCCAGGCGTAGGAGTTTGAAAGTGATGTGTTGGGATGCAGGTCTGGGCTTGTGAAGTGAAAGGCTGGATTAAGGTGTGGGGCCATGGAGTGATGGGCCGGCTCTCAGGGTTAGCGTGGTGGAAACGGGTTGCTTTGGTGTGATGGGCACACTGGACTCTGGCAAAGAAGGTGACAGCTGAGAAGGGGTGACATAAGTGGGTTTCTAAGCCTGTCCTGACTCATCTGAAATACACATCTTCCTGGAAAAATGAAATTGGTTGACGCCTGTTTGGGCCATTTAGGCTGAGGAGAGGTAGGTGGACACAGACATGCACAGACTTGTACATATATATGCACACCCATAGTCACACATGCACACACCACGCACACACAAACACATCACACACAGGTGTGCACACGCACATGAGCACGCGTGTACTTGCATGCATCCACCCCTGTTCATACACGCATGGATGCCTGTAACCTCTCTTCCCTGGTTTTCTCTCCTGATTTCTAGGGCCGGAATACCGCCACCAATGAAGTTGGCTGGTTTCCCTGTGACAGGGTCAAGCCCTATGTCCATGTGAGTGGTCAAGTCTGGAGGGAGCAGGGGCAGGGGTCCAGATAGGGTCCTGGGTGATGGACTGACTTGGAAAGGCACACCTGAACGTGGGGAGGAACATCTCATCATGGCTGGCCCTTCCTACCCTCCCTGCTAACAGCCCAGTGTGGAGTCACCCTGGAGCTCATAGTAAATCATTTCCTCCTTGTAGATGGCACCCTCTCCTCCTATGAGTCTCTCCCACTCGTACCTTATCCCCTGACCCTTGGTGTCCACTTTCCAGCCTGTCCCAGCCCCACATGGGCCTTAGTACGGGCTGGTCCCCTCTTCCCCATCAGTTAGTGGATAGTGACCCCCTCCCCAGGCCTTCCTTCTCCATGGAAGCCTCCCTTGATCTCCTGGTGATAGGTTTTCACCCCTCACTTCAGTCATTTCTTCAGCAGTGAAGTCACTAGGTGTTGTAAGCAGCAGCGCTCGGCTATTAACCGAAAGGTTGGTGGTTCAAACTTACTCAGCAGTGCCTTGGAATGAAGGCCTAGCAGTCGGCTTCTGAGAGGCCACGTACAGCCTTGGAAATCTTGTGGAGGACAGTTCGGCTCAGCATCTGGGTTGTCACGAGTTGGAACTGACTTGATAGCAACAGTTTCTTTTTTTGTTTGTTTTGTAATATACTAAAACAGATTGTTCCATTAGATTATGGAACTGTTCCCCCGTTCAGTAACAGCACAATGCTGGCACCCAGTCGTGGCTGGGTGAATGAATACATGGATGGCTGTTGATCCACAGTCAATAAATACCAGTGGCGTGGATGGGAGAATGAATGAGTGAATGACGTGTGGAGGTCTGTGACCAGGCTGAGGTCTTCGCCCGGAATCTGAGTTCCCCTCTCTGTCCTGCAGGGCCCCCCTCAGGACCTGTCAGTGCATATCTGGTGAGTAGAATGAAGTCCTTCCTTTCATTCAGCGTGGGCATGGCAAGTCAGCCTGAACAAGAGAAGAGCCTCCAAGCTAATCTGTCAGTCAGTCTTCATTTATTCTTTGAATCCTGAGCGCTGTCAGATGGGTGCTAGATGTGCACTGGGTGGTGCTGGGGGATTCAGGCAAGGGAGCGCTTCTGAGTCGGGTAATTACGGTAGGGGCCCCCCAAAAGGGTTGATGATGATGATGATGATGATGACGATGAGGATGAAGGTGGTGATGTTAATGGCAGCCTCTGTTCTTCTCTGGAATTTTCCATAAATTGCAGAGTGCAGCTACACTTGTCAAGATTCAGTCACCAGGGCCAGGGCTGGGGTGAAGGGAGTGCGGGATTACTTACTTTGGGTGCAAAACGTAAGGTGACATCCTCAAGATAAGGATTTTCTTTTTAGTGTAATATTTGAAATAATACAAAATGAACCTCATTCCCCCCAAATCCATGATGAACAGAATATTAAAAAAAAAAGAAAGAATTTTTTTATTTTACTTTTCAAAAAGAAAAGTGTATTTGGGGAGGGGTGGGCAGGGAGAAAAGTGCAACAATGAATGAATGGAAATCCAAAGTCTCTGTAAACTTTCATTAAAATAAAAAAATAAAGAAAACAAACCTAGAACCAACAGGCTTGGAGTTAAGGCAAGACGAGTAAGGTGAATAAATAAAACTTGGGAATGGGTTTTATCTTTACTTACAGTTTTGGCATGTTGTTTGTCATGGATTTTTATGCATTTTTTTTTAACTGAGGTGAAAATCATATACCATAAGTCCAGTCGTTTTAAAGAGCACAGCATTTTTTTTTTTAAATTCATGTATTTATTTTTTATTTTGTGTACCATCAAATTGAATCCAACTGGCACAGGAGGAATTTGCCCCTTTTTCTCCAGCAGAGCATCTGGTGGAGTTGAACCGTGCACCTTCAGGATTGTAGTGCAGCTTCTTACCACTTGGCCACCAGAGCTCTCGAGCACAGCATTTTAAAGAGCACATTTGATGCATTCAGAGTGCTTGTTTATGGTTTGGTGCCATAGACCACAAATCTGAACCTTACCTGGTGCCATTCTTTACTCTCCAGTTCTAGAATGTTCTCACTACTCCACAAGGAGATGCTGTCCCGTTAGACTGTTGTCCAGTCCTTCCTCTTGCCATTCGCTGTTGTTGTGAGATGCTGTTGTGTTGACTGCGATTCGTAGTGTGCCCTTGTGTGACAGAACACACCCCTGAGCGATCCTGCACCATTCTCCCCCTCGCTGCAGTGTTTCAGTCCTCTGTTGAAGTCACTAAGTCCGTCCAGCTCTTTGAGGGTCTTCCTCTCTTTCACTGACCTTCTGCTTTGCCTCTTGTATCCTTCAGGGACTGGCCAGATCATGCCCCACTTGCTCCAATCTCTAGGCAACCACTAATCTACTTCCTGTCTCCATGACTTGCCCGTCCTGGGTGTTTCACAGATCTGCTCCTACCCAGATATGTATCCTACACAGATAGACTCTTTGGGTCTGTCTTCTTCCACATAAACATACTATTTCTGAGGCTCATCCACATTATAACTTCATTCCTTTCGGTGGCTTATGTTTCATTTATTCTGATTTTTAAAAATATTGCATTAAGTGTTATTTGTCTCTTTTTTCTTTTTTAAATTTTAATGAACATTTACAGAGACTTTGGATTTCCATTTATTCATTGTTGCATTTTTCTCCCTCTCCACCCCTCCCAACCAATTCACTCTTTTCTTTGGAAAGTAAAATTCTTTCAGTGTGATACAATCCCTGCCCCCACGTGCACTCCACTATGCAGCCTTCATTCTGAACTCCTGTCATGATAATAACACCTAATCATATATTGCTTTTGAACAGTTCTCCCCTCATCTCTTTCAATGCAGTATACATTATTTATCCCCTCTTTCTCAGACTCCCCCCAACATCGATGTCAGTCCCGTTTTACAACAGTGGCACTATGCAATATTTGTCCTTTTGCAACTGAGATATTTCACTTAGCATAATGCCCTCCAGGGTCACCTATTTTGTATAAGATTTCATGAGTTCTTTGTTTTTCAATGCAGCATAATATTCCATTGTGTGAACATATCAGAGCTTCTCTATCCATTCTTTTTTTAAATTT